ATGCAGATAGAAATCAATGATCCATTGGATGTCATATTTGAGTGGATACCATACAATCAGTTTAACGACATTAAAGAAGTAAATAAAGATAAATTTTCTACAGTATATTCAGCAAAATGGACGGATGGCCCATTATATTGGGGAATCATTTGGAACAACAAGAAATATATCAGAGAATCGGATAAAGAAGTTGCTTTAAAATGTTCACATAATTTACAAAATAATATTGATGAGTTTTTAAGCAAGGTACTTCCTCTACAAATTTTTTGATTCAAATTCTATTATCATTGTAATAATAATTTTTTTATTATACTGTAGGTTAAACAATTATTAATTAATAAAAATATGAAAATATATGGAATATCACAGAATCCAATTACAAGAGAATACATTATAGTTTTACAGGATGTAGATTACATGAGAAATTTGACTAAACATTGGATAAGCGGGAATGAAAAAATTGATAATTTAATTCGAGAAATGAAATCAAAAATCAATGATTCCCATGATATTATATTTGACTGGATACCATACAGTCAGTTTTACAATATTAAAGAAATAGATAAAGGTGGTTTTGCTACGGTATATGCAGCCATATGGAAAGATGGACCGTCATATTATGATTCAGATAAAAAGCAAGAGAATAAAAAAGTGGCTTTAAAATGCTTATATAACTCGCTAAATATTACTACCGAATTTTTAAATGAGGTATAATGATTTTTTTTTATAAATTTTAATTTATTATTTATACATAATAATATTTTTCTTTTTTCATGATTTAACAGATCAAAAAATATTCGGTAAACAATTATGGTAACAATATAATTAGAATATATGGATTATCACAAAATCCAGATACAAAAGAATATATTATGGTTCTTGAATATGCGGAAGGTGGAAACTTTAATAATTGGATGAACAAAAATTACAGAAATTTTTCTTGGTTCTCTAAAATAAATACATTATATAATATTAGTAATGGACTTAAAGAGATACATCAAAAAAAGATAGTTCATCGTGATTTACATACAGGAAATATACTATTTTTTATTAATGACATAAGTATGTTCGATTGTAATATGTTATCTATTTCAGATATGGGATTATGTGGAGAAATTGGTAATGTTGACAAATCCAAAATTTACGGGGTTATGCCTTATGTAGCTCCTGAGGTGTTAAGTGGAAAGCCTTATACTCAAGCGGCAGATATATATAGTTTTGGTATGATTATGTATTTTACGGCAACCGGAAAACAACCTTTTTCTTATTGTCCACATGATAAGCTTTTGGCGTTAGACATTTGTAATGGAATTAGACCTGAAATCAATGAACTAGAAGCACCAAAATATTATATTGACCTAATGAAAAAGTATTGGGACCAAAATCCAGAAAATAGACCAAATTCTTTTGAAATATATGAATTAGTCTTACAATTTCAAAATAATGAATATGAGATTGAAGAACAATTCAAAGAAGCAGAAGAATATAGAAAAGCGAATCTTTCATCAAATGAAAATAATCAATCAGCTATTCATCCACAGGCTGTCTATATATCTCGATCACTTAATTCTTTTACTGATTGTTTAGACTGTAGGATTTAAATTAAGAATAAGCAACAAGAATGATTGATTCGTTAGAATTAGACTACATTAATTTATATATATTATCTCATATTTAGTAATTGGTCGCCAGTGATTTTTTTGATGATATATTTATGCCTGTAATTTTTCTGATGATATTTTTCATGCTAACGTGTTTTTATAGTTTATTTATACCTTTCCCACTCTTTCCCATCACTGGACATTAGTCCCTATGAGATAAAAGAGTTATTTCACGTGTCGCATAAATATCATGATTTTCACGGCGCAGCCGTGAAAATAATTGATATTATTCTACAGCCAAATAGGATCATGCTTTTTTCATCATGCTGATATTTTTTTATTAAGCTATAAATAAACTACCATTGCATAATTATTATTGATATTTTTGACGTTGTTTAATCAATAGTTTATTGTATTTATAAGATGATCATTGGCGGCTGCAGAATAACACAGTTATTTGATGACTCCCCGTGAAATAATTATTACGTATTTTATTTTTTATATTTTTTGTTAAGAAATAGTTTTATAAACAATGTATTAATATTATTAAACATATAAATATCATAAATAAATTGAGCAAATTTTAAATTTGTAATATCTTGCAAATTGAGGTACCATATTAAAACCCATAGAAATTATCTTTCTATATAAAATAAAAGTCATTATTTGAAAGAGTCGTACATCATTAATCCTAATATCCTTGTTCCATTTAGCCAAAATACTGAAACTATGTCCGAAGAACGGTTAATTTCATGAAAAAGTGTTTATTTTTGAATGGCGGAATGTTTCCTTACCTGTTAAAATAAAATAGTTCAACTTAGACCAAATGTTAAATTAACTTAAATTAAATTTTTATTGTTATATTTATTTTAAAAAAAGGGGTCTACTATATATGGGTCTTAGTGATTTAACAAATAAAATGATTTCAAAAATGTTGATTTTTGTAATTCTGATAAAACTCATCGGTTAAGTTTAAAATTTATTACGAATAATGAGTTTATCGTAAATAAAAATTTTTAACAATATTACACATTTAAGCTCTTCAAATATATTCTTTTTTTTTAAAAAAAAAATGTTTAGTCTGATAAAGTCACGTAAAGTAAAAAAGATAATCGACGCTCAATGTAATTTTGGCCGCACTATTCTTCCTACCAGTAAAATCAGTAAAATCTTTAACTTAAACTTCGAATTTTTGATTTGAGTCAAAAATTTCTTTACAACGAATATTTTTGTTACTGCTGGGTTAAAAACTCGAAGCCCTTATATAATGAATTAATTATTTTGTTTTTATAGTGATTAACTGGTTTACTCAATTTTTTTTTTATGGATTTGCAAATATAGGAATTTGGAAATTTCTTTTAAAGTTTAAACTAAATGTCCCAAAATTAATAATAAGATTACTGGTATTTTTCTCTATAAATATTTATGGACTTAATTGGGATATTTTCATAAGGATTTTCATAGTATTCGTGATAAAATCGATATTGTTAATGAAAGTGATGTATCAAGGATTGCCAGGAGTTTACTTTCCAGAATTCGACTACTTCGAGAAATCACATATATGCTTAGGTATCATAAAAATGAGCAATATTTCAATATATAAACCTCAAATATGTTGACTAACTGCTAGTACATCAGGAAATTTTCGTCGAAAAAACGTGTCGAAAAATCTTTAATTTTTTTTTTTACGTGTGCATGTTATTTTTAGTTTGTGTCACACAACTGAGCCTATTTTATTATAATTGTCGTGTGTAATAGAAATTATACTTTTCAAAATAGGCGTAAATATGGTGGTACATTTGGTGTAAATAAAATAAACTCTTTTTAATAAAAAAAAAATCCGTCAAATTCTATAAACGGAATTCTTGTCAATTGTTTTTGTAATTTAATTATCTAGTATTTGTTTTTCTTGTGATACGTTGATTTATTTCGTGATTTGAAGCACACGCATGTAACTTTAAATATATGTACCACGTGATTTGAATTAATTGATGTAACACAAGTACAATTATAAAAATTAAAAGTTCAATGAATTATGTCGAATTAATAATTTAATTTATAAATAAGAATTTTTAAATTTTTAGTTTCTAGAATAAAATAGTAGTACATAACCTATGAAAATGTTAGGTACTGTTACGTTAAAATTCTGAACATTGTAAATTGTACAAAATTGTAAATTTTAGTAACAAATATTAAAAAAGCGACATATTGTATGTACTGCTGTACAGTAACACATTATTTCTTATTAAAATTCTTGTTATTATATATATATATATATTATATTTTTATGATTCACAGATTTCTAATTGAAATTGTCAGTTTTGTTCACCTATAGCTATATTCTGTATTTAAATTTTTCTATTATTTAATAACCACCTGCTAATTCTAATTTAATATTGAATATCATTTCTTTTAAAAAAGAATCATGACCAGAAAAAAATTCTGGCGAATTAATTTATATTGAAAAAAAAGTTTTTGGCGTTCCAAAAAATCGTCATAAATTAACGGAATATAAATCATATTTTTCTCACTCATTTATTTAAAGGATATTAAAAATATGTTATATGTTTATCTATTTGAACCCGTTCATGCAATTTTTTTTATAAAACAATTTTATTATGCCAGCGCATAACAATATGACAGATAAAAATTACGTTAAATCTATGTGACATCTGATAATCTATGTTAATATTTAAATATATTATAATTTGAGCGGAACTTTATTCAAACAGCCAATTGTGGGTTCAAAATGTAACGTGGATCCATTTCCAGACTTGGCAATTCCGATTTGATTGATTACAAATATTTATTGTAAATATAAATATTATTGTACTATATTATCACGACATTAAAAAAAAATATATGTACGCACGTAAACATTTTCTTTATACAAAACGTACAAAACGAATGAAAGATAAAAAGTCTCCGATAAAAAGAAAAGTAAAAAAAGATTTTTCGAAATTTCATTTTTAGTTCCTTTATAGTAAGTAGTATAGAACACTATTTTTGTAAATGGTGTGATTATATTGACTTTAATAAGAAATTTTTAATAATAAATTAATTTTATGTTTTGAGAAAACAAATAACTAGTAAATTTAATTTTGTTGGAATCATTGTTCCACCGCTTTTATATTTTCTATTTCTAAATATATAATAATATATGTATATAAATAATTAAAAATAAAGAAATAGAATCAAGTTTTTAAATTTTTAATTAATAGTATTGCAAGTTATGTGAAACGTAAGAATGCAATGTAACATTTTGTAGCGTTAACCTTTGGTTTTGTATAATCTACTGTATAATGTATCGCTTTATAATAACAATATTTATTTAAAACAATAGGGAAATTTTCCACTGGCCATAAGGAAATTCACTTCTTCCTTACAAAAATATAAAAAAAAAATTTGAATACGTACAATGATAATGACAAAATCTATCATAGCTTTATTAAGCATTTTAATGTTTTATGCCTTGCAAGTATTTGCACAAAATTGTATTTTAAAGGGAGGGCCTTATTCCAACAAAAAAAAAGCAGTAGTAAAAGTTAATAACACTGGATTTTATCCCGATTGTCTTATTGTTCGTGATGGACAAAGTGTTGTTTGGTGTATGTATTAATTTGTTTTTTACTAATATTATGTTTCATATTTCTCAACAAAATTAAATCTTGTACTTTAGTGTGGGATGAAGTTGGAGACCATACAGTTACAAGTAATGCAGGACCCTTTGGAAATTGTAATGATAACTCAAGTCGTAAGTTTTTAACCGAAGCATAAGCGTAGGGCACTTTTATTTCATGTATTTAAATGTATCTGAAAATTTTTCATGCCGTTTTCCAGAAAGTGCTGAATTGTTTTCTTTATAGCTATATTAAAGATAGATGAAAATGGACTTTATGAAGGTGACGTAATCAACGCAGGACCGTTCAAATACGATTCAAGCGACTCCTCAAACAACGTATTTTATTATAAATGCATTTACCAGTAAGTATATACATATAGTACATGTTTTAGCGAATACAAAATATATCGATTAATTTAACCAAAAACTTTTCATTAATGCTTAGTTGTTTTGGTGGCATGTTTGGTATGATTAAAATTATTAAGAAGAAAAGGTAATAACAAAATAAGCAGTAATTATATAATATTACTTATCATATGCCATTTATTGTAATTAAATTTATTTTATTTGTATAATACTTTTTTGGATTCGTCATGATAATAAAATGTACGAAATTTCGAAAAATAATGTAATCTACTAAATTTACGTTCGCTAGTAATTAATTTAAACCTAATTTTAAAAACGAAGTTTGTGATAAAAATGCAAAAAAAATATACACTTCTAAAGTGATATTGCACATATTCGGACAACATCGACCTATAATAAAACGTCAAGTTACTGACATACATAATTACATGCATACTAGATCGTTGAAAAATTTACAAAATATTATAGTATCATAGTTAATAAACGTAAACCATTGTTTATTTTTATTAGAATATTCCCAAAGAAATCATAATGCACGCTTATTTTGCAATTGTAATACAAACCGGAGGATGACTACCGATTTTTCGCCAATCTCCAAAAATGGTATAAATAATAACCTGAATAAAAAAAAAAGAAAAACATTTTCATTATGACATTTTCCAGATTAACTTATGGCGTGCATATTGTATACAATATATTATTAGGACCCCGAGCTATATATATAGTGGTAAGGTGCAGCCAAAAAAAAAATTACTATTAGCTCTACGCATTTTTTCAGGGCCGGAATTATGATAATGCCAGTCAGCGTCTAAATAAGGAAATAATTTCCGGCCGGAATTATCTATAAAAGGAAGATCTACATGATTATTCTACGCAGCCGGTTTAAATCCCAATTTGTAATCACATGATTTTAGTGAAAGAATATTAATTTGATGATTTTGCTCAATTACAAACTGATTTTATTGATGTAAAAGATAAATTTTTACATATACTCTATAAATCAGTGTTGAACTAATAACATGTATATATCCAATAGATATACTAAATAGATAATAAGAGTGTAAAAAATTTTTTTCATTTTTAATTACTATATATTGACCCGATAGTAATCAACCGAAAAAAAAACAATATAATAAATATAATAAAGAAATTTACTACTTTTTTTTTTTAAAAAAAAAGGACACGAACACGGATCTTAAACTATATCCAAATGAATTAGACTAAATAAAATCTATAATATACACTGAAGTCAGTTTAATCAGCAATTGAACAGTCTAAACATTCGGAATGATCATCATTATTATCGCATTTCGGAAGGTCTTTCGTAAAAGGGTTTAATAATCTAGATATATTACTAGCTTGTGGATGTGTTGTTGATTGGTTGATTTCAATAGATGAGATATTTACTTTTCTGTATTCTTCTGCTTCTTTAAATTGTTTATTAATTTCACCGTTCAAACCAAGATTATACGAGTAAATAATATCTATTATTTCAATAGCATTTGGTCTATTATCTGGAACAGAATCCCAACACCTTTCCATTAATTCAACGTAACAATTTGGTGCTTCTAATTCATTTAATTTAGGTCTGATTCCACTACATATACCTAATGCCAATACTTTATCATGAGCATGATCAGAGAAAGGCTGTCTTCCAGTTGCTACAAAATACATAATCATACCAAAACTGTATATATCTGCTGCTTTGGTGTAAGGTTTTCCTCTTAACACTTCTGGAGCTACGTAAGGCATTACTCCATAAATTTTGGATTTGTCTACATTACCAATCTCTCCACATAATCCCATATCTGAAATATACGTATCATTATATTGGTTAACATATCCATATTCAAATAATATATTTCCCGTGTGAAAATCACGATGAACCATCTGTTTTTGATGAATTTCATTTAAACCAATAATAATATTAGTTAGTGTTCGTAATTTATTATTCCAATCAAAATGTTTATAACATTTATTTATCCAATCATTAAAATTTCCACCTTCCGCATATTGAAGAACTATAATATAATTTTTTGTTTTCGGATCTTGAGATATTCCATATATTTTAATAATGTTACTACCGCATTTATTCATTGAATATGCTTTAATCTACCAAGATAAGAGCTTGTTAATATACTTATAAGTCATATATTTAATAACATGATGTATTATAAATTCCATACGTCACATACCTCTTTTAAAATTTCGTCAATTATATCATGTGATTTATTTAACAATTTTAAAGCAACTTTTTTATACGGCCCTCTTTTCCATTCTTTATCATAATGCAATGGACCATTTTTCCATTTCGCTGAATATACTGTAGCAAATCCACCTTTACCTATTATTTTAATAGCCTTAAATTGATTATACGGTATCCATTCAAATACTATAACATTTGGGTTATTAATTTTTAATTGCATTTCTTGAATAAATTCATCAATTTTTTCATTCCCACTCCAGTTTGTAAAATTTTTTCTTAAATAATCAATTTGACATGATTTACACCATTTACACTTTATGTCTGTATATTCTTCAATACATATCTCACAATAACTTTTAACATATCCTTTATGGTAATTCTTGAAAACCATAATATAATCTTTTGAATCGGGCTTTCGAGCTATTCCATGTATTTTGAAATAGTTATTGTATATTTCCACCTAAACAATTTTAATTACATTAAAAGATTGTTTAAGTTAGATTTATAGAAATTAGAAACTTTCGTAAAATCATACCTTATTTAGAAAACCATTAATCATATTTTTTGTGTTACATAGTTTCAAAGTAACTTCTTTGTTAGCTTGCACTCTTACCCATTTCTTTTTATTTGACTCATATTCCAATGGTCCATTATTCCATAATGCTGAATATATTGTATTGTTTACTTCCTTAATACTACTAAATTGATCATATGATATCCATTCAAATATTATATCACATGAATGATTTACTTTTAATTGCATTTCTTGAATAAAATTATCAATTTTTTCATTTCCACTAGTCCAATCTCTAAAATTTTCCTTTAAATTCTTTATTTGACATGACTTACACCATTTATTCTGTATTTCTGTATATTTTTCATCACATTCTTGACAATATCCACTTTGAGAAACCAAGACATAATCTTTTGTATCAGGATTTTGAGATATTCCATATATTTCAAAATTTTCATCACTTTTATATACTATAATCTGTTTTAATAACAAAACTAATATTAAAAATTGTATTATCTAAATTATACTTAAAACTTTCTTACCTTATTCAGAAAATTATTAATTTTATTTTGTGAATCAAGTAGTTTCAAAGTAACTTCTTTGGCTCGTACTCTTGCCCATTTCTTTTCACTCAAATTATATTTCAGTGGACCATTTTTCCATAATGCTGAATATACAGTTTTATTTATTTCTTTAATATTATTAAATTGATCATATGATATCCATTCAAATACTATGTCTTTTAGGCTATTGACTTTCAATTGCATTTCTTGAATAAAATTATCAATTATTTCATTTTTACTGGTCCAATCTTTGAAATTTTCTTTTAAATTATTTATTTGACATGGTTTACACCACTCATATTCTATCTCTGTATACTTTTCAATGCATTTTTCACAGTACCTTTTGTCATAGTATTTATTTTGAAGAACCATAATATAATCTTTTGTTTCTGAATTTTGAGACATCCCATATAATTCAAAATTTTTACCATTTTCATATACTTTAATCTATTTTAATAGAAACATTAATATTTAAAATATATATAGATTAGCATATTTAAAGCATTCATACCTTATTAAGAAATTCATCAACCAAACATTGTGAATTACATAGTTTCAAAATAACTCTTATAAATTGTGTTCTTGCCCACTCTTCTTTATCCTGATTATATTTCAATGGACCAACTTTCCATAATGCTGAATATGTTGTATTGCTTATTTTCTCGATATCACTAAATTGATCATATGATATCCATTCAAATGCTATAGTATTATATGGACTATTTTTTTCTAATTGCATTTCTTGAATAAAGTTATCAATTTTTTCATTTCCACTAGTCCAATTTTTAAAATTTACTTTTAAATTTTTTATTTGGCATGGTTCACACCATTTATACGATGTTATTGTATACTTTTCACCACATTCTTCACAATAAGTTTGAAGAACAAATATATAATCTTTTGTATCAGGATTTTGAGATATTCCATATATTTTAAAATCATCATTTTTATATTCTACAACCTATTTTAATGACAATTAATATTTAAAATAACAATTACTTAAATTGTATTTAAAATTTTCATACCTTATCAAGAAATGCATCAATTGTATTTTGTGAATTAAATAGTTTCAAGTTAATCTTAACTTGTACTCTTGTCCATTCTTTTTTGTTTTGATCATATTTCAATTGGCCATCATTCCATAATGCTGAATATATTATATTGCCTATTTTCTTAATATCACTAAATTGATCATATGATATCCATTCAAATATTATATCATATGAATGATTTACTTTTAATTGTATTTCTTGAATAAAATTATCGATTTTTTCATTTCCACTAGTCCAATTTTTAAAATTTTCTCTTAAGTATTTTATTTGACATGGTTCGCACCATTTACGATGTGTTTCTGTATACTTTTCACCACATTCTTCACAATTGCATCCAGTTTGAAGAACTAATATATAATCCTTTGTATCAGGATTTTGAGATATTCCATATATTTTAACATTATCATTTTTATATTCTGCAGCCTATTTTAATGACAAAATTAATATTTGAAATAATAAATTACTTAAGTTTTATTTAAAATTTTTATACCTTATTAAGAAATTCATCAACTGTATTTTGTGAATTAAATAGTTTCAAATTAATTCCAATTTGTACTCTTCTTGTCCATTCTTTTTTGTTTCGATTATATTTCAATTGGCCATCATTCCATAATGCTGAATATATCGTATTTCCTATTTTTTTAATATTACTAAATTGATCATATGATATCCATTCAAAAATTATATCATATAAATGATTTACTTTTAATTGTATTTCTTGAATAAAATTATCAATTTTTTCATTCCCACTAGTCCAATTTTTAAAATTTTCTTTTAAATTCTTTATTTGACATGGATTGCACCATTTATTCCATATTTCTGGGTACTTTTCACCACACCCTTCACAATATCCATCTTGAAGAACCAAAATATAATCCTTTGTATCAGGGTTTTGAGATATTCCATATACATCTATTTTAAAATTATTATCATTTTTATATTCTACAACCTATTTTAATGACAAAATTAATATTTTAAATAATAATTATTTAAATTGTATTTAAAATTTTCATACCTTATTAAGAAATTCATCAATTGTATTTTGTGAATTAAATAGTTTCAAATTAATTTTAACTTGTACTCTTGTCCATTCTTTTTTGTTTTGATCATATCTCAATTGGCCATCATTCCATAATGCTGAATATATCGTATTTCCTATTTTTTTAATATCACTAAATTGATCATATGATATCCATTCAAATATTATATCATGTGGACTATTTACTTTTAATTGCATTTCTTGAATGAATTCATCAATTTTTTCATTTCCACTAGCCCGATTTTTAAAATTTTCTATTTGACATGGTTTGCACCATTCATAGAGTAGATTTGTGTATTTTTTACCACATCCTTTACAATATCTATCTTGAAGAACAAAAATATAGTCTTTTGTATCAGGATTTTGAGATACTCCATATATTTTACAAATATTGTTAAAATTAATTTTACTACTAATTGAGTATTGCCTAGCCTATTAATTAAACCAAAATAATTAATGTATTAAAAAAAAGTATTTTAAAAATTAGAATTTTAATAAAAGAATTCATACCTCATTATGTAATTCGTATGCTGTGATACTTTGTGAGTTATATAAATATTTTAAATTAACAGTCACATCGCTCTGGTTATGCTTCCATGTTGCTACTGCAAAATCACCATTACCAATCTTTTTAATGTTGCTAAACTGATTATATGGCACCCATTTAAATTCACTTGAGTTATTAATTTCTAATTGTATTTCTCGGATAAAATCATCAATTATTTCGTTCCCACTGATCCAACTTCTAGAATTTATTTCTAAATTTTCCATTTTGCATGATTTAAGCCTTGAAATGACAATATTATCTTGAAATTCTTAAATTAAAAAAAAAATTCGATCAGTAATTTACGTCAATAAATACAAAACCGGAAAATTACGGCCCGAAAATAGGCGTAATCATAATTGATGAATCATTGGGAATTCGAGATGCAACTTTCAGAATGACAAAATTAAAGGTGCCAATAATAAGTGATTACGGTAATGCCAATGAAATTCCGCTTCTCCAATAACATTTTAAGCAATGAAGATCAACGGAATTTAACGGGACTATCATTGCTGCNATATCTCAATTGGCCATCATTCCATAATGCTGAATATATCGTATTTCCTATTTTTTTAATATCACTAAATTGATCATATGATATCCATTCAAATATTATATCATGTGGACTATTTACTTTTAATTGCATTTCTTGAATGAATTCATCAATTTTTTCATTTCCACTAGCCCGATTTTTAAAATTTTCTATTTGACATGGTTTGCACCATTCATAGAGTAGATTTGTGTATTTTTTACCACATCCTTTACAATATCTATCTTGAAGAACAAAAATATAGTCTTTTGTATCAGGATTTTGAGATACTCCATATATTTTACAAATATTGTTAAAATTAATTTTACTACTAATTGAGTATTGCCTAGCCTATTAATTAAACCAAAATAATTAATGTATTAAAAAAAAGTATTTTAAAAATTAGAATTTTAATAAAAGAATTCATACCTCATTATGTAATTCGTATGCTGTGATACTTTGTGAGTTATATAAATATTTTAAATTAACAGTCACATCGCTCTGGTTATGCTTCCATGTTGCTACTGCAAAATCACCATTACCAATCTTTTTAATGTTGCTAAACTGATTATATGGCACCCATTTAAATTCACTTGAGTTATTAATTTCTAATTGTATTTCTCGGATAAAATCATCAATTATTTCGTTCCCACTGATCCAACTTCTAGAATTTATTTCTAAATTTTCCATTTTGCATGATTTAAGCCTTGAAATGACAATATTATCTTGAAATTCTTAAATTAAAAAAAAAATTCGATCAGTAATTTACGTCAATAAATACAAAACCGGAAAATTACGGCCCGAAAAT